GATTTTTGAATTGAAATTTTCAATTCTTAAAATCATATAGGATGCTAGATTTGCATCTCATATATGAAAGATCCCAAATACCCCCCTAACTAATTTTGAAAATATTGCGAAAAAAACTCCTCGGCCAGGAGTCGAACCTGGAATCTCCGGCTTTCCGTGCCATGGCATAAATTGAATTCATTTAAATTGAAAATTTCAATTCAAAAATCACATGTAAAAATAATTTACATGAGAATTTTCATACATGTGTATATATATATATACATGCACGTTTATTCCTGCACAACATCCTGGGAATGGCTCGTATCGGCCTTGTTTCATTCTTAGTTTAAAAAATACATCAGTCTCTAGTGCTCACACAGACTAACGTCCATTAGACGTCCATAACGTTCATGTGACGTTTAATGAACGCCTACAATGAAGGTTTGTATAGAATGTTGCTCGCGTGGGATATTAATACATGTACATATATGTATACGCTTTATAACAGGAGTCATGACAATTATTACCGCGACATTAATAGCTACCTTGTGTGTTTATTGTATTTTAACAATTCAAGATTTTTGATATATATATATATGTCGGAACCGGTAAAGTTCAACCGTAAGATTTTAACACTTCTGTTTAAACGCATTCGGCAATTTCGTATAAACAAGAAGCATTGAAATCCTATATAGTTGAACTTTATCAGTTCCGGCATAAGTTAATAACAGTTTATTGTCCGCATAAAGACAAGGCATCTGATCGAGCGCGAGCACGTTTTTAATGTCGACAGCGCACATCCCACACGGATTTCTTACTCATTATTGATAAGATTTGACTTTTTTCTTGAATCCCAGATCCCAAAAAAGCGTTATCGATAAGAGAAGCATCTGCGGCGCCGGTAGCAGTGTCGTCTCACGTCTCACGTATAAGCGGACGGAGTATTAGTCATATGCGACCAATGAGCTCGTTATCTCGATCATGCGACACCACCGTTCCGAACAGTGGTGGTCGCGGTAATAATAATGACGGTGCGCGATATAGCGATAGAGACCCTGACCAGCAGCAGTCTATTAAAAGTGAATAGAAACCTCGACATAGTTCACTCGCCTCCTTTGGTCGTCGCTGTTTCCGGATACATTATCCAAAAGTAACTTCCTTATCGCGCTCCTCCCATATTATACGTTCCGTATTGGCGCGTATCGGAGCATCGTATACATATATCCGATTCGATCGTGCGTGCGCACACACTCGGAGAGAGGAAGCTATACACACATTTTTGCCGCTTACAACCTCTACAACCGTTGCAGCGCGGAAACGGCCGCAGCCCGTAACACGAGGAACACGACGCGCGCATCGCCGCACTACCGTTCCGTCCAGTGGTGTGTTTCAGATCGCGTGATATATATGTCGGAGCTGTAGCGTTTTCCCGGTAAGTTTCGCGGCCGCCTCGCCACGAAAAAAAAAATCTCTCACCACATTGTGTCTCCGCACTTTCCATATCTCGCGCTACGCGGTTATCACTCGCGTACGAATGTCTGTTTTCATCTCTCGATCGCGCGAGAGTTAAATTTCCAATTGTGCTATATAGTCAAAATGAACAAGCCACGGTGTGAGTGATTTATTGTGCTGATTATTTGCAGAGTATCTTATTTATTTGTTTCTGTTTTTTTTTTTGTGGCTCTCGCAGGATATATACAATAACATGAATATTTTGAGGAACATTTCGGCGGCCTTTTGGTCGCCAGATATTTGGTTACCACCTAATATCACATGGAAAGACATCAGTCCGAATGCAGACAATAAATATACCAATTATCAGCATTTAATATATCCTATTTTCATGGCATTCGTTCTTCTAGGAATAAGATATACTCTTGAAAGGTAAGTTTTTTTTTTTTATATTAATTTAATGTTTAGCTTTAGAAAAATGTTGGGTATACACACACACACACACACACACACACACACACATATGTGTATATAACAACAAATAATTTTCCTTGCCAAAGCAGACTTGTGAAAAACAAGTTTTAATATAAACAACTTTTTTTTTAGATATTGGTTTGCTCCCTTTGGAAGATCCCTTGGCATAAAAAATACCAGAAGCAAAAGGGCGCAACCTAATGAAATGTTAGAGAAAGCATATCTCAGTAAGAAAACTAAGTATAAGCAAGTAAGTGATTTAATTCATTCTACAAAAAAAGATCAAATTACATAATCAAACTTAGCAACTTTTGTTACTCTTTTTTTTATTCAGAGGAAAAATTTTATTCATAGAATATAAAAGTACTGTTGTCAAAAATATTGTAGTCATATATTTTAAATGTCGCACATCAATCAATTTAAATAACATTAATTACTAATTGATACATTTTTATCTGTATCATCTGCACATCAGCATCTTGTAACACGCAACTGTGTTTTAAGATTGTGGCATTGGCTAAACAATTAGATTGGTCCGAAAGACAGGTGGAAAGATGGCTTCGCCTACGTCGTTCCCAAGACAAACCATCTACTCTGACAAAATTCTGTGAAAGTTGGTTAGTTGTCTCACTCATCTATTTGTTGTGTTGCTTTGAAAATGTTAAAAGGTAACACTAAAGATATATTTGCAACTTTTTCATTCAATATAACCTTTTCTACAGTTGGAGATGTTTTTATTATACATATTCCTTCCTGTATGGCCTTATTATTCTATGGGACAAACCTTGGCTTTGGGATATAAAGAATTGTTACTATAATTATCCATATCATCCTGTTACCAATGACATATGGTGGTACTACATGATATCAATGTCATTTTATTGGGCATTGAGCTTTTCTCAATTCTTTGATGTGAGAAGGAAAGATTTCTGGCAAATGTTTATCCATCATATAGCCACAATTTTACTTATGTGTTTCTCGTGGGTCGGAAATTTAACAAGGATTGGATCTCTAGTTCTACTGGTGCACGATTGTGCAGATATATTTTTGGAGGTAAGAGAACTCGGAAGAAAGAAACAATTCCTCAATAAATAATTAATTTCAATTTCAATTCGTACGCATTTCTAACTTTGTAGGCAGCAAAAATGGCCAAGTACGCAAATTATCAGAAAGTGTGTGATTGTATTTTTGCCATATTTACATTTTTGTGGATTGTGACACGTATAGGCGTGTATCCGTTTTGGATTATTTACAGGTAATGTACATATTAGGATATTCTCGCTTTATCTGTCCCACAATCAACACTAACTCAAATTTGTTATACACTTGCAGCACATCTATAGAGGCGCCTAAGATAGTACCAATGTTCCCTGCGTACTATATATTTAATTCTCTATTAATTTTATTGCTCGGTCTCCATATGATTTGGACGTATTTAATTCTTAAGATTGCGTATCGTGCATTCAATGCTGGTCAGGTACGTGCTACCGATTTATACAGACTGTCCCATGCACGCTGGTTAAAATATTTTATTAATGTTAACGAATAAACGCACATTTTTTTGTTGTTTACATGCTTTAATCTGTTTTCTTGAAAAACTATTACAGATGGAAGGTGATATTCGCAGCAATAGCAGCGACGAAGTATCCGACACTTCAGTCAATAATACTCCCGTAAACAGTAACGCAAATTATGTTAACAAATCAAATTCAAAACCAGTAGCTCACTAACAGAAAACGCATGCTAGATGAGTTATTATTTTAGAAACTGTTCCTAAAGGCAGAGAAAATTCATTCGGACGTTTAAGCAGGTGCTAATCTCTCTTCCTCCAAGTAAAACAAAACTTGTACACAACAAGTACAAGCAATCTTAATCTTTCAATCCAAAATGCTAATTAATATGCTTATATATATATATACACACACACACATACACACACACATATATCTTCTATATAACCGCGAAATTAATACATATAATTTTTTCTATCTTTTCTCTCGATCCTGTTTTTATTTTGTTAAACAGATTTTTAAATCTTTGTCACAAATATGTCTGTAATCCTGTCAGATACCTGTGTTTAGGAAAATATTACACTTAGAGGACAACGAAATCAAGTGGGAGTTATTATATGTTAACTTATATATATATATAGGTACATATGTAAGTACTACTTTTTATTTAAGAAAATTACTAAGTATTCATTTCTTCGAACGAATTCTTAAGGCTTAAGTTACAATAAGAATGGACCAAAGCTACAAGATGTTCAGTATCTGAACCTCAATCGTCTCAAGTCCTGATATCGTATAACTATTTTGAAAGAACGTATTTATTTATTTTCGTATATTTTACATAAACAGTCAATAATCGATTAAGTAAGGATAATTAATTAATAATAAACTTTTACTAATTAGTCATATAAATATTCACTTTTTATTCCATTTCTCTCTCTCTCTCTCTCTCTTTCTCTCTCTCACACACTTTTAAAATGCGTAAAGTTCTCAACCAAATACGTTCATGTGTATAATCTATATAAAAAAAAAGTATAATCAGTTTAAATGTATTGCAATGTATTCCAACAGCAAATGTATTGCAACAGTTTTTGCAAAATTGTGTCGCTTAGGTCGCTGTGTAGAGCAGCGTTTGCATTTATCAACTCATAATAAATATTGTGTAAATTATACGCTGTACTTATGTGTAAATTTTTATGAGTAATGAGAGAATCATTATTCTTGCGCAATACGCATGTGTCCTCGTGTATCTTCAATAAAACGTTTCTGATTCTTGGACTCATTTGTTTTGTTTTTTTTCTCTGATGTAACTATATGACCAAAAAAACCAGTGTTGTTGTAAAATTCATATTCGCGCCACTCATGCTGCGCAAATATAAACATGGCGATGGGCAAATATCAAACTGATATAACTGAATAACACACAGCCATCTTTACTACTATATATATGTGTCGGTATGCTTTGAAATAATAGTCCATTAAATAAACCGGCGTATGAGCTGATAGTTAGAGTCCGCGAGTTGCCAAAGGCCAAAGGTTAAATCTGTGAAATAACAGGTTAGAGCACTATGATCTCTTGTGTGACTTGTAGGTTTGCATATAAACAACGTACAGGCAGGAACGTTTATGTTTTTATGCGTCAATAATATATCTCAATATCTCAACAATGAAAAATACAATTTCATGTGCTAAGACATTAACGTTCCTGCCTGTACTCTTGGATTCAATTTGTAATTATGTAAACGATGGAGCCGCATGCAACCACACATGGTTCCGTTTAGTTCCGTCACGACTCAGGACCGTGCATATCGCACTCTATTCCTCATTTTCATGTTTCAACATGTAGGAGAAGTGGGGATCACCTTGACATGTCATTCAAATTTTAGTCATGTTAGCCTGGTCGGTCCTCTGATCACGTTGTTAATTTCGTTAGCCGGTCTTCTGCACAACGTGTCGCAAAAATGGGAGGAAAATGGTCTAGTATGGATCCCTCGCAAATCGAGGTTCCGGAAATAGAAGCTCTTCTCAAAAGGGATCCTTATTTGAAGACATACGAAAATGACATTCGTCGAAGGTACTCTTATTTGTAGTGTTTGTACATATTTAAATATAGATTACATTTTATTTGTGTATCTTGATTTTATACGTCATACACAACGGCTTTTTGAAATATATTTCTAAATATATCGCAATACACACACACACATATATATATATATATATTGTTATAAAAATACATCTTTTTAGATATGGTGTGTTCTTGGATTATGTTGAAAAAATAGAAGCAGGAGATAGAGATTTAAAACAGTTTACAAGGGGATATGAGAGCTTTGGAATTCATATTCGAGATGATAATAGTGTTGTTGCAAAAGAATGGGCACCTGGTGCACAAGAAGTATTTTTAACTGGAGATTTCAGTAAGAATCTTATTTTATATTTCTATTTGTATCATACGAAGTTTTTGTAATCATACATTTAACACATTATCCAGAATTGTATGCAGCTTCCGATTAAAATTGTTTTTTTTATTGCATACTAGATAATTGGAATAGAACTGCTACACCATATAAAAAACTGGAGTTTGGAAAATGGGAACTACATTTGCCCCCAAATGCAGATGGCAGTTGTCCTTTGAAACATTTGTCTGAAGTAAAGCTGATTATCAAAAATCACAATAATGAGCTTCTTGAAAGACTGAGTCCTTGGGCAAATTATGTGACTCCGCCAGAGAATAAGTCCGAAGGGACTACTTATAAGCAACGTATCTGGCATCCGCCTTCAAACAATGTACAATATTATTGTCTTATAATTATTTAATATCTCATTGAGTAATGTAGCAAAATTGCATTGCAATACATAACAAATTAGATTATTTCTCTCTAGGTGTATAAGTTCAAGCATCCTAAACCAAAGAGACCAAACAGTCTCAGAATTTACGAATGTCACGTAGGAATAGCTACGCAGGAATTGCGAGTTGGTACCTACTTGGAATTTGCTAAAGATATAGTACCAAGAATAGTGAAACAGGGATACAACACGATACAATTGATGGCGATCATGGAGCACGCTTATTATGCCAGTTTTGGATATCAGGTTGCACATTTGCACAATAAACGTTCTTATAATAATTGTGGCTCACAAATGTCGGTTGTATAAATGTTTTTTTGCATGTCTAAAATTGACAAGGTGACTTCCTTTTACGCGGCTTCGTCTCGTTATGGAACTCCAGAAGAATTGAAGGAGTTGATAGACGTGGCGCATCAGCACGGTCTCTTTGTTTTGTTAGATGTGGTGCACTCGCACGCATCTAAAAATACTTTGGACGGACTGAACATGTTCGATGGTACAGACGCGTGTTTCTTCCACAGCGGCAGCCGTGGCGAGCACCCGCTGTGGGACAGCAGATTGTTCAATTACGCTGAATACGAAGTACTTCGATTCCTACTGTCTAATCTGCGTTGGTACAGCGAAGAGTACAAATTCGATGGATTCAGGTATATTCTTTTTTTTTTGTAGCATGTAAAAATCTACTAGCACATAAAGAACTTTATTAGAATTTATTTATTTATTTGTACTTTAACAAGAAGAAATCTCATCGGTATATGATAAGTAAAAACGTTGACAGACAAACCTTGTCAACAAAATTTACTTTTTTAGTAAAATAAGCAATAATTTGATATTAAAATATCACATCACATTTATGTTTCCCAGATTCGATGGCGTTACATCAATGTTATATCATTCGAGAGGCTTGGGACAAGGTTTTAGCGGTCATTACGACGAATATTACGGTCTAAACGTTGATGTGGAGGGTGTGGTGTATTTGATGATCGCTAATCATATGTTGCACGAAATATATCCCGAGATGGTCACAATTGCTGAAGATGTCAGTGGAATGCCAGGCGTTTGCAGGTATACGAGAAAAAACATGTAATTTTAATAAATTAAATTAAATTTAAAATTAGTTAGGAAGGTATATGGGATCATGTACGCGATGCAAATATAGCATTATATATGAATTTACGAATTGAAATTTCAATTAAAAAAAACTCACATATAAATTTACACGTGAATGTAATAGAATATACATATATATTTATATATACTTTCGCAACAAAACACCTAGCGTACGGCTCTGATCTATCATTTATATATTTCGAAGATAGTTTTTGTGTACCTTAAAAAAGCCCAAAACTTATTATTATTAATGTTAATAAATAAAACTTCCAAGTAGATAAAATTTTAGAATATATTTTAAAATGTTTCAGGCCAGTTGCTGAAGGTGGTATGGGATTTGATTACCGACTAGCCATGGCTATACCCGACAAGTGGATTCAATTGTTGAAGAAATTCAAAGATGAAGATTGGAAAATGGGTGAGATTTGCTGGACGCTATCTAATCGAAGATGGATGGAGAAAGCGGTTGCTTATTCCGAGTCTCACGACCAGGCTCTCGTGGGCGATAAGACAATTGCGTTCTGGCTTATGGATAAGGAGATGTACACACACATGAGCACACTGAGCGGGAACAGTGATATAATCGAGCGTGGCATCGCCCTCCATAATCTAATCACGCTTATCACACATGCTTTGGGCGGCGAAGCTTATCTAAACTTTATTGGTGAATAACATTGAATTTGCTCTTTACACACAGAATTCTATTTTTCGCATACGCACTCGAATTCGTGCGGCTAACAAAAAGATATAATACTCGAGATATTTTATCAGGCGCGTACGTATTTCGCAGGTAATGAGTTCGGCCATCCCGAGTGGCTAGATTTTCCAAGAGTTGGAAATGGGGAGAGTTTTCATTATGCCAGACGTCAGTGGAATTTGGTAGACGACGATATGCTTAAATACAAGTACATGAACAATTGGGATCGCGCTGTAAATACGCTTGAAGAAAAATATGGTTGGCTGCACGCTCATCCCGTAATTATCTCCCGACGACTTTGTGTAATTCGATTTTTAATTTAACAAACTCTTGGAAAAGAATAACATATGAACAATTACTTTTAAGGGTTACGTAAGCTGGAAACACGAAGACGACAAGGTGATTGTATTTGATCGAGCTGATCTGACATTCGTCTTTAACTTCCATCCGTACAAATCTTTTCCCGATTACCCGATAGGTATAAAAAATCCAGGAACGTACAAGGTCGTTCTGTGCAGTGACGATGAACAATTCGGAGGTCAACGTCGCGTAGACAAGAACGTGAAGCATTTTACGCAATCAGAGCCGTTTTCTGCGTACTCGCACAAAATGATGATCTACATTCCATGTCGCACAGCTATAGTTTACGCACAAGATGGTATATAATGATATTTATTTCGTATTAATAGTGCAATGCGTTCAAAGAATCTAATCAAACTGATGAAATAATTTTAGATAGATAATATGTTAGCCGGAAATTCATCCAAAGAAGTCTTCCAAAAGAATTTTTATACTTGAAGACTACGTAAATACAAAAAAATATTTTATTTTTGTAAAATATATAGAATATGTAATTCAGATACATATATGTACAAAAAGATCTGAATTGTGAAAAATTGTTTGAATTATTACTTAAATACAATTCTAAATTGCATTTGCAGCAAATGTCGACGCATTTAGTTTACTTTTTTACCCTAGAAAACACGAAAAAACTTAAACGAAACTTTGAAAAAACGCTTGGTTAATTTGCTTGATATATACACACATTTAAATTTTTCTCTCAGAAACATTCACATAAGTTATATTTTAATTGTCTTTTTTTAAATAAATACAAAAAATCTACATAAAATCTATCATGATGGTGAAACAGTATCCACATTACTTGCAACTTTTACATCATTAAATTCGGATTCATTTACATCGTAGTCATTCATTTTCGTTTCTAATATCCACCACTTGTCTAAAACTCCTATGTCTATTATTCTTTCGTGAAAAGTCAGATATTTTGGTTTCAAGTAAGGACAAACAGCTTTGTACAAGAAACAGTCTTTGTCATAGTTATTTATCCACATCAGAGAAAATAGACCTAAATTTAATCTCCTAGTAATTCCTTCGTTGTAGCATTGTTCTAACCACCGTATGTGCTGCACAGAAACAGGATTGCGTATAGGTTCTCCTACTTGAATCAGTTTTCCGCTACTTTCTATTAATTTATCCCTGAACATGATTTCATCTGGATTGTGTTTGCTAAAATAAAAGCAACCTCCTAAAACTACAATATTTTATAGTTATATTTATAATATATATATATATATATATATATACACCGATTTTTATATGCATCTTAAGAATAATAAAATTTTGCTTTAGTAATATGATATAAAAATAATACATACGTGTACTATATATCGCAGCGCGTACAGGACGTTCTTTACAATCTTTGGCTACATCAATTGCAACATCCTTATAATCTACATACAGATTACGCCAGTAGTTTGCTGCAAAATCACAAAAGCTCTCATGACACATAGTTCAAGTGAATTTATTTTTTAATGCTGACAGTTTAGATGAGTTTGATATTTTCAAATAAATTTACCCCATCGTTGTAGAAAAGTGCCTTTAAATTTCTCAGGTATCTCGTAGTTTTTAATTTTATTACTGACATTATCAAATCTAGACAGAACCAGCCTGTAAGCTGTTCTGAATCTTTGAGGAAGCTGAATCATTTGTTGGGAATTCATGTCCACATGAATTTCAGTAATAATTTCAATACCTCATTGTGCGTGAATTTAAAGGTAATCACGTGTGAAGAGATCTCGTGAATGAGAAGAAGGTTATGTTAGATTATGGCTGCGGTTGCGTAAAGTTTGTTCTTTTCCCACTTTCCAGGACAGCACTGATTCTGAATTATCTGTTCTGAGTTCTTCTACATCTGCTTTACCAGTTGTCAAGCTTTACGTTGTCCTCGACGGTTCCAAGTGCAGTCTCAAGTTGCGGAGGAAAAGAACAAACCTATTGTCTGATTTGTCTTGTATACGTACACACATACATACGAAAATATTCATACAAAGCAAGCGGCGCGCGAAGGTACAGCGGAGTGTGATCGCACAAATGTCAGACGACCCATACCCTAAAATCAACGTAGGAATGTGACGAGCCGAACTGCGGCAATTTAAATTTTCGCAGCAGCGAGAGATAGCGGATCACTGAGATCGAAACTGTAAATCATGGAAGGCCATCAGGTATCAAGACCCGGCGAAAGAAACTTATGCTCTTTCGCATTTGATCATCTTGATTATTATTATGACTCATTCATTTCCTTACCAATAAGTGGATAAACTCTTTATCTCTCTTTGTTTCTTATTTTTGGCATTACTTCTTCTCTTCTATTTTTTGTTCAGGTAAGAGCATTGTACGACTTTACGGGTGAGCCAGGGACAGCAGAATTGTCAATTACTGCTGGCGAGTTGTTAACTGTCATACGAGACAATGTGGGAGATGGTTGGTGCGAAGGATTTAATCAGAGTGGACAGTCAGGATTGTTCCCAGCAGCCTATGTTCAAGTTGTGGAACAAGCTGCACCCTCTTCCAGTATGTACTTCATTTTTATCTAAACTATTCTCTACATATGTTATCAGTTTTGACCAGTTTTGTTGATTGTTTGATAAGAGATAAGCTCTTTTGCTTCTGTATTTTTGATAATGATTTAATCAAACTTTTATATAAGCAGATGTTATGACAGCATCTCAGCAAAGTTCTGGGGAGTATTGGGACGACGACTGGGACGACGATTCCGAGATTGGACAGACACAGGCATATGTTCCATCTGTGCAACAATTACCACAACAAAACAGCACTGGCGACTATGGTGATCAAGCATCCATGCATACTATACATTCTGTGATACCAGAGAGGCCTATACCCAATGTACCAAAGAAAAACAATAAGTTCTCTACATTAATTAAATCGGGAGAGGACAGTTTCCTACTAGGTAGAATGGTGAATGTGCCTGAGAATGAGAAAATTTTTATAGAAGAAATAGATGGCAAGTGCACGTGGATGCCAACTAGAGAACCTTACAGTTGCGTTGTCACATCGCCCAAAAAGGAATCTAAGCTGAAGGGTCTCAAAAGCTTCATTGTCTATCAATTAACTCCTACAGTAAGCACAAACATTTGCGTCTGTTTTTTTATATAACTAGATATTTATATTTTATGTTAATATCACTAAGTCAAAATATTTGCAATGTTTATATTATTTTATTTTTATAAATTTTAAATTTACACACAAATATAAAAATAAACAAAATAAAAAATTTCGTTTAAACACTAATTTCTTTGTTAAATTATTATCGCTGTTACAGTTTAATAATATACAAGTTTCGAGAAGGTACAAGCATTTTGATTGGCTGCACGAACGCTTAGAAGAAAAGTATTGCTTCGTCCCGATCCCACCCTTGCCGGACAAGCAGATATCCGGTCGCTATGAAGGTACATTCATCGAGCACCGGCGTACCCAGCTGCAGGAGTTCGTCGATTATGTTTGTCGGCATCCCGTGCTCTCGCGCAGTCGTGTCTGGGAGCATTTCATCACGTGCACAGACGAGAAGCGATGGAAGCTAGGAAAACGACAGGCGGAAAAAGACGAGTTGCTGGGTGTGAATTATTTTAACTCTATTCAATGTCCAGACGTGCCGCTGGATGTTGTAAAAATGGAGATTCAAACGGACGCTTTTGCTAGATTTATTAGCGGATTAGATCCGATAGTGAAAAACTTCATGAGCGTGGCGGTCGATCAGGCGAAGAAGCACCAACAGTTATACAGAAGAGAATTTCAAAAGGTCAGTCAGTCGTTTACGGCGCTCGGCCATGCTCTGGAGGCGGACGATAGCGGCCGTAATAATCTAACGCGCGCGTTGAAAGCCACCGGTGACGCTTACAACGACATCGGCAAGCTATACGAGGACCAGCCAAAATTTGATTGGGAACCGTTAGCCGATAAGTTTCACATTTATCGCGGTATTATTAGCAGTTTTCCTGACGTTATCAGCATTCATAAGGTATTTTGCGTGTAATTGATATAATTGACGCTTCGAAACGCTTCGTAATAGAGAGATAATAATCAAACCTTTGCAACTTCTTTTGAGAGGCAACGCCTGTTGCTTCTGCCACCGATCCTAATGAGCGTTTTTGTTTCAGAAATAATTGCAAAGATTTGACATCTCTGATAAATATGATGTGACGTACATATGTGATATTAAATTAATCAATATATCGCTTTCTTTTTTAGAGTGCCGTGCAAAAACGAAAAGACTGCGAGCGATTGGTCAGCGAACACAAAATGGAGCCGCAACAATTGCGCGAACTTTCCCATCGAACTGACGTGATAGCTCGCGCACTAATCGCCGAGGAAACACATTTCCAAACGGAACGGGAAGTGCATATAAACAAAGCGGTAAAAACACATCTCACGGAACAGATTGTTTTTTATCAAAAAATAGTCGATAAATTGCGAGAAGCGTTAAGCGCGTTTGACGAATGAGATTCGCGAGATTTGCAGCTATCCGCACATTACAAATTATCTAAGCGCTAAAGAGCGATATCATTACTAACACAAAAGTATTTCGCGTAAATGGCAGTAAATGTGTACCAAAAATGCACGTAGTCTCTACTACAAGGTGTACATATATATAGACTATATGATAGCTGATTATACATATATATGTATGTGTGTGACAGCTGATCCTTCTGAATAAGTGATTAGAATGATCGAAGGTAATCGTCAAATATTCGTGAGCTGATCGAATGAAATCGTAATTGAGACAAATATATGTATATGGCTAAAATCAATGTAACAATATAGTATATACAATTAATCATTGATATTATGAAAAATTATATTAATCTTGTTTTTTTACATTGATCATTAAACTCTTAAATGTTTTTTTATCTCTCGATAGTTTTGAAGTACTAATTTATTTCCCGATGAACACGTAAACGAAATAGCAGGAACGTGATGATCTTTGAGTGATCGAGCAAAGATAAGTTCACGCTCGGAGCATGTTGTAAGATTGAGAATAAACTACTGTTACATGTTTATTTATAGCGAGATCTTTCGATTTTTATTTTTTTGATCGTCATCGCACAGTCTGATAAGAATCACGAACAAAGTGAAGAAGCATGTAATAATCTGATATTTGATGCTTCCGCGGTGTGTTGACATTCCAAGATGTTTATCGGGTTTGAATCGCTTTAGTGTCATTTTTAATACCAACGTTTCGTGAACATTTCAGCTCGCTTCATCAGAGTTTCAGGAGCACCTTTGATACTAGCATGTTTCTAAAAGTATAAATATATATTACATCTAAACGACAAAGATAAACAATAAAGATTAAAACATCTTTTGCTGAATAGACATGTTCAATAGTTTATTCTCAATCTACTTGTACAAACGTAACAATAGGCTTACACGTTCTATATTTGGGTCTCTTCATTTATTTTTAAACCAATTGTTCGTAAAATTGACGCGCTTTTTATTGTTCTATCCAAATCTTTCTCCATTACGATTGTTTTTTTTTTTTTTTTTTTTTATCAAAAGACGCGCGTTTATCTGTGTCGTTTTGCTAGAGAAAACATCTCAAATGTATAATCATGTGTGAGAGATTGTATTACATTTATATAAAAATTTGTATTTTTTACAGATTTTGTGCTCGATTGTATTATAAAGTATCGTATATTGCAATACAAAGTGAATTGTTGAGGCTGGTTTTTTAGGTCGCGATTTATGTTATCGTGAAATCCATAAAGTTCGATACTCGAAATTTAATACTTTCGTTCATAATGAGTAAAACAATTTCGCGATGTATTGAACTTTGCGATTCTGCGACGTAAGTTAGCGGTTACTGGACTTCATCAAACCAGCCTTTATGAATGTAACTTTTTGTAACTATAGAATTATGCGTGAAACACAAATATAAATTGTACAGCATGTGTGTGTTGATACTACTTATATAATATTCTGTATTACTTAATACAATTGTCAAACAGAATGAAAATCGGAGAGAGATGTGTGTATAAAAGATACATAAAAAATTGTACAAGCATTTTTTATGTTAAATTAAATGTTCTATAAAATATATATGTAAAAAGTCCGTTTGATTGTCTGACGAGCAGCTAAATGTGAAAGAAAACGGTAATAATAGTTTGATTTGTAAGAAAAATACGCGAGGATTGTGACATCTTTCACGCGCACAAATGTCGATTACTTTTGTAATGCATCGCGAATTGAGTTATTTAATGCGTATCTAAATCGTGCGAAAAAAGATTTACGCATTTTGTAAAATATTCCGATGACACGCAAAATCATTGTACGTTCAACGAAACATAGGCATGAGAAGAATTCTAAACAAAAGATATTTAACGAAACATCACGTAAATTTGCGTACCTTAAATTTATTACACGTTTTTTGTTTAGGTGAAAAATATTTAATAACATTTTTTTATGTGAAAAAAATGTTAAAGCGCATGAAGAAACCTAATGTATAAGACGTGCTATACACATTCTTATTGTTATTGCATTTAAATAAATTGTACAAATAACACTGAGCTTACATGTATCAAACATAGACGATATAAAAACATAAACTGATGTCTTTACAAATGATATTAGCAGAGAGAGAGAGAGGAAAAGGGGAGAAGAGAAGAGAGAAAAAAGAGCAAACGCGTCTCTTCTCTTCGGAGAAAAAGAGTTTTAATTAATAAATACCGCTAATTGAGTCAAGAATTGTATGTTATTTATTTTTTTTCTTTATCACATTCTCAATTAACTACCATATAAACAATGGTCATACATGTCATTTCTGGTCTGTCGCTTTCTCGAATTGAATTGAAAATTTCTTTTTCATTTTAACAAAAAATATCTCTCGATGCATCGCGGAACTCAAACAACGTGCTTTCAAATGTGAAACTAATGCGGTGCATATGCTCTGTTCGCGTACAAAAGACACAAGTTTTAAAAGGGAATAATTCAATAATTTCAATTCGTCACGAAAATTCATGTACTTTTTAATGACAAGTATATTACATGTGTCAAACACATCTAACGTTTGTGTACAAGAAATAACAAATCCACACACTCGTAACTATATACTGTTCCACGTTCATTAACGATAGAGATAGACAGTCTTTCTAGTACTTCACGTGTATATTGCATGCGATGATACTTTTTTTTTTGTTTTTTTATTTATTTAATTTTTTGGTTTGTTTCTAATTAGAGAAGCAACTCGTACAAAAATAGCGTCCTGTTTTGTTTGCAACCACATGATCACGCATACTCGATAACTGAACGTAAATAAGACGAATCACGTTTTTATTCACCGCGTCGTTCGCTATATTATTTATATAAATTTGAAATGTGTGTAAATATATTTAAATCGTGTGATAATTTTCTTCATAAGGATCGTTCTTCGAAAGAATAGGAATTCCCCTTTTTTTTCTGGTAAAAGAAATGTTCCCTTAAACAGTTTTGTTTTGAGTAATATCTAACATACATACAAAGACCACAGGAGAAGAACTTGACAAGTTCATTTTTTTCGATTTTGTTTTTTTTATTTTTTTATTTGGTAGTTAAAATTAAGTATTTTTTTTTTTTTAATTATTCACAAAGCGCGAGACGGGAAAATTCTCGATAGATTTCAAGATGTATGAAGCATTTTTATAAAACGAGTAACAGAGAGATACGTGTGTACGTTTCGAACTTTAAAATCGCTAATGGTGCGTAAGGGGAACAATGCGAAGAGAGTACAAGTTGGTCGTGTGTTAAATATGTAACTATTATTGAAAAAAAAAAAAAAAACCAAACGTTTTTTGATCGCATTTGCCCTTACGCGTCATTAACGACATTTTCACGAGAAATTCACTTCTCAACTTAAAATCGTTCTCTAAACGAAAAATGTAAACTTATCAAAAGTTCTTCTCTTTCTTGCGGTCTTCATATATAACAGCCCCTCTCTTCTGCGTGTTCATTCAGTGTTTCGAATAGACTACAGACGCTTTTCCAGATGTAGATAGGCCGGAATATAAAAAAGAGCACATGCTATTAGAGAGTCAAGCGTTTAAATCACAGAAAAGGAGTTTCGATAAAAAAAAAAAAACAAAAAAAACAAAAAAAAAGACTTTACGTCCGAATTTGCAAATATAATTGCCAAATTAATAACGTGAACAAATAAGGATAACAAGCTGTGTCATTTGATATCACCAAAAGGATATCATATAAACATTGGCACGTTTTAAACTATTTTTTATTTTATTTTTATTTTATCTGTTACGATCAAAACGCGCGCGTGTAAAAACAAACACGGCGCAAAATCATCTCGATTATTTATATATTCATGACAGTATAGTTTTTTTTTTTTTTTTTTTTTTCGTATAGATAGTTTCTTTACAATAAGACGGCAAAATCGTATTTTTGGGAGACGAACTCCGTATGTTTTTCTTAAGCGTAACGATCGCAACAAGCTTTGTACAATGAGAAAAATATATATAGTATAGGAAGATTTGGTATTCGTGCGCGCACCGCGTCGATATTATATAATAAAAACGGTACGTTTTTCTATAGAAATGATCGAAATATATGTTCTCGGTGATAATATCGCGCGCACACACACACACAGATGCCAAAAGATTCACAGTGAGAAGAACTTTGACACTTTTGACACCGTTGTCTACATATCGCGTCAGTTCTACTTCGTGTTCTATTTTTTTTCTTTCCGCTCTTGTTCTATGCGCTTCTAGTCGGATTAGAGTTTTGTGTTTTTTTATTTATTTATTTTTTCTTTTATATATGATGAGATTGCACTAACAATTCGTTCTTGGTTTTGCTACTTAAGATCAGCTTATTTTTACATCACATTTACAGTATTCCTGCCGATATGTGTTTGTTCACGTGGCACGGTACTTTGAAGTACAAGCTAAAAGCTCCGTTTTTTTTTTTTTTTTGGTTTTTTTTTCCCCAAGAAGATCTCGTCTAGTTTTGTGTGTGTTGTTTCTTTTTTTAGAATTTTTGTCGCACAGAGCCATCATCACAACGCACGTTTATTTTAGCGTAAAACGAATGTTTTTTTTTTTTTTGTTTTTTCTATCGAATCTCTCTTATTAGATGACATGATGTTGATTACACTTGTATAGCATCGGAATCGAAAGAACGCAGGAAACTTGTTTTGCCACGCAATTCTACGATAACAACGTTCATTACGGCAAAATTACCCAATAAAAAATTAGCAATCCTCTTCTCTATCCGCACTAACGAGAAAAGCACTAAAAAGCAAATCTTTTATTTTTATTTTTTTTTTTTTTTTTTTTTTTTTTTTTCAGTTGCACCTGTGTTATATGTACAATACGTTTCTCAATAAGTACGTCTTGACACTTGAGCATTATATAAAGAAAGAATCGTTCTTATATAATGCAACTAATATATTGCGAACACGTTTCTGCGATATATAAGCACTCACTAAAGTTCTCACTAACGGCACGTATGGTGGATGTACCATCATCATGTCATCCAAGGCACTTCAAAAGTCAGTTTTATACACAATGAAAAAACACCAATAACAGTTTGGTGAGTTGGTGTGTGTACCGAGGTACCAAGCGTATATATAAGTAACGATAATCGAACTGTCATATACTCATTTACGTGTGTGTTTCATTACATCGGATAAAGATTTTATATGTTCCACGGCCGTGAATTAAATGTCCATCGTTATCAAGTTCTGGGCTGCGATTGAGAACACGAAACTTGATACGAAGCAAACATGATTTTCATGACGTTACAAGTGTTCTTGTTTTTTTTTTTTGCTTTTTTTTCTAGAAAAATGAAATTAGAAAAATGAAATCAACAATCTCAAAGTCAAAACGCTAGAATCTTTTCAAATGTGGCTCATCGAATGAAATCCATTACGGAGCGATGTTCTCCAACGCACCCTCAAAATAATCATCGTATCTCGATGTATATATTACTTGGCGTAATTCTTTACTATAATACCTCTTTACATGTCAAGAAGTGCCCGCTGTACGGACGGATGCCTAACGTGTGACAATGCCAAAAGATTATTATTATTATTATTATTATTATTATTATTATTATTATTATTATTATTATTATTATTATTATTATTATTATTATTATTATTATATACAGAGTGTCTAAAATTTCGACACAGCCAAAGTATGCAAAGTTAGATTTGGATGTCAATTTGGACAAAACAGTGTCGTGTACAATTTTGCAAAATTCGCAATGGTTAGTAATAAGATATCAATTAATTAATATGAGAGCCAATGAAAAGCGACGAGCTCCCGCTTCTGTAGGCGTGTGTCAAAACGTTTCAGACACCCTGTATATACATAACATATGTAATATAGTTTATAACTCTGAGAGAAAGAGAATATACATTGTAATAACGGATATGCTTGTTCAGTAAAGCGCAATCAACATAGATGTATTTTTTTTTTTTTTACATAGTTACTCATTAGTTACATAGGTACTCGGATTTTTTTTTTAACGAGAGCCATATATTCCAACTGTTTCTACTTCCAGCTATCTACGTCGAAACACAGAAAGTCGCTAATCGATCTCTGAAAATTTACTTGTGGATATGTAAAATCGCGAAGAACAGCGATTTAAAGAATAGTTTACATTACTCGATCTCTCTCTCTCTCTCTCTCTCTCTCTCGTGTGCTTCACAGCACATGTGTTTTTACCAAACTCGTCTAAAATATTTAGTCCAGCGATCAATCACATATTTCTTTCTCCCTAACGGAGTACGCGTTGAAAATGTTTTGATTTTTTTTTTTTTTTTTTAGGCGTAAATTTATACAAGCTTCATACTGCTTTTACTGGGCAACATTCAAAAATTGCAACTGTACATCCATACATATAATTTTCGCACGAAGTCATTTTCGATTCTACCAGTCTTGTGATATGGCAAAATAATTATATATTTTTAAAAAAGTATTTTTACCGCTTTTCCGTTTTCGACATATCAAACAAAAATAACGACAAGGCACGAGATACAAAACAACGTAGATTAATTAAATTCGCTTTCTTTTCTTATCTCTTGTTAAAATGATTGTAATCTCTTGTTATTCAAATGATTGTAATTCAAATATTCGTGCCGCGTATAAAACAATATGTTCCAGAGATCTAGTTTCGAGTTGTCTTTATTACGTCTGTATATATTATATAAATGATTAAAACGACATTAACGTACAAGTTATTTGCTCTTTTGTCTGCTTAGCATGTCTATATATGTATTATATGGCACATTCCAATTGTTAAAAGTAATCTTTCGTGACGATATAGGCTTCTGAGAATATCAAGAAGTTAATTGACCTTAATAGCCCTTGGTCCAACGTTGGTATGCAATCAAATTTTGTGAACGTTTTGATCTTTATTTAGATTATCTTCAATTTTTTGCCACCACGTTAGATCAGTACTGTTAAGGTCAATCAACTCGTTAGTAATCTTTTGTGTGTATGTGTATGTATGTGTTATCATATGAGCCACTGATTGCGTGGGAAGCGATGGGCTCATCTCATTTTTGTTTTTACAAAACGAAGTTTTATAACAACGAAAAACCATAGCGTATTAAAAAAACTATATCTACTGTCTTTATATATGAAAACAATAAAAACTTTCGATAGTATACATCAACATTAGGTTTTTATAAACCACCGTTATTGTTGTAAAAAAATACAGGAATCAATCAAAATTAGGATAAAAACTTTTTTGTTCGGTAGTTTGTAAAGATCTAATGTGTTATATTTGTATTATTGGGTAAATCTGCACATTAAGGGCGTCACTAATTTCAATGACCTTGACATATATTGTCAAGGTGACCGTCCGGAGTAACAATCAAAAAGTTTTAGCCGTCGCTCGTTCTTCGTTAAAAAGTTATAGACGAAAAAGATTTCATAACTGAACCATCGGTTTTTGACACCGTGTATATCTTAGACAGAATATATATCTTGGATATATATTCCACGCATACATTTTTTAAGCAATACTTTCACCACACTCTCAAGGTTTGTTATTTTTGTTTATGTGGGAGAGCGCACACAGGGACGTACCCGTCCCTGAGCACTTTCCAAGCTTATCGTAACTTTTATAGTTGTTTTTTATTTATTCTATACTAAATATTTATATATAAGACGTATTACGTCTAAAATATTATATATTATGTGTAAACTATATCCAGTGAATTGAGAATCGATGGTTTATTAATGAAACTGTTTTCGTCCATAACTTTTTAACGAAGAACAAGCGACGGTTAAAAAAACCTTTTGATTGTTACTCGGAAACATGTCCTTGACAACATAAGTCATTGAAATCGGTGAGGTCGCCCTTGATATGCAAATTTATCTATTATTGTTCAAACAAATCAAGCTGACAATAACTCTGCTAAATTTATTTGTTACAATAGTAACTGCACAGAAGTATTTCTTTCTGTGTGATATTATCTCTATTTTTTTAAATCAGGCACGCGAGATAATCTATGTAAGAATTTAAATGTGTATTTGTGCATTTTATGTACAGTTTTGTGTCTTACATAATATAGAAATTTGTAATTAAAACGGTGCAATACATTGATATTAGCAGAATAATATACATATATGTATATACGTATTGAGATGTCAAGCTAGCTCAGCGAATCCTATTCAAGATCCCCTATATTTATGTGTGTGTGTGTATATATATATATATATTAATATAATATCACACTATGTACGGGGTAGAAGAGAGGAGTATACACACGTTACATACAGAATACGTATTACTTAAGATATTATTCAACCGTTGAGACTAAGCATTTGCATCTTCTTTTACCAAACAAAAGAAGAAAACTGTCGAGATAAAAAAAAAAAAAAATAAACAAAAGAAAACAACAGATCTCTTAAGCTCTGTGCACTAAGTGACCTCTCGGCATATAGTTCGCGTTTGTCTTTTGATAAAAATTTTAGCTTGGATTAGTCAGACTGTAAACCCCGACTTCTCTTTGCAAACAAAGAAGAAGTATTCTCCATTGTTCCGAAGTATATGTATTAGGGCGAGTGAGAAAATCAAATTACAATAGGAACCGTAGCATATGGAATCGTATTCGTTTGTCTAACGGTACAGGTCTCTATGTTGCACAGAATCGTATCAAATAGCCGCGCTACTCTCTCTTATTATACTGAATTTTATAAAATATAAAAACTTGTCGTTGTACTCTGTTCGCGCAATATATATATTTATACATAGATATATGTAAGTATATATATATATATATATGTGTGTGTGTATGTACAAAGTATCCTACAAATATTACTTAGATAATATTTTGATAACATATTCTACAATTTATAATTGGAATTGAAAAGTACAAGACAAAAAATCGGTTAATAAAATTAAAACCTACAGGCGGAAGATATATACATTACTGCATTTTCGTCGCACGAGTGTGCTAATTGTTAGAGTTTTAGAAAGAGAAATCAATGAGAATAGTCATATATAAATTATTTTGCCGTACAAAAAAGCAGCGATGTGATATTATAACAATCTGCAAATTCCCCAGTTACATTATGAAGCAATCTGCAACTGAAACTAATCCAAATACCGAAACGTTATTTGTGTTTCTTTAAGAATAAATTTGTTAACATATCCATATAATGTGACTGCGTGCGACTGGTTCTGTATGGCATGACCAAGTAAATACTCGGGTTTGTGTTTGTTTTTTTTTACAAAACTTAAAACCTCTATTTTTATCTCAATTTTAAAACGTATTTACAGCTTTTCGACATTTTTTGCATTGGACTTTTCAATTTTATTTAAACTGTGGAATATGCGCGCTGTTAAAATATTGTCTAATAATTGTAGAACACTCTGTATACTTTATATTATAATAGAGCAAAGTCGATCTAACAAAGTTCGCAAAACATGATCGCAGCACGCAATCAATTTTCAAGTCTTATTTCTAGGATGCAGCCGCCTCTCGTCCCGTCAGATTCTCGCGAAACGTATAATTCTGCAAATTCATATTGACCTACTGCTTTTATGTATGTTGCAACATAGCAAACGTTGTACACTTATAAGAACAAGGTCTACGAACGTAATTGCCAAACTGTTTGTAAAACGTAGAGACGTGTTATATTGTGATATTTGCTAAAGCGAATTTAAGTTTTAACGCTTTTCAATAGTAACCGGTTTTTTGTGTATGATGTTTGTGTACATGTTACATTCGTGTTATCGACACAAATTGGCTTTAATTTATTCTCGTTGCTTCTGTTAGCTCAAAAGCGACGATTACACCGCGCGTCACACGAGATACGTACGTAATTGTTTTTTTGTTTTTTTTTGTTTTTTTTTTTTTTAATTTTTTCTCTTTTGCGCGATATTTCAGCTTTTCTTGTGTTTCCGTTGCTTTCTAAGTTGCGACACATTGTCCCGAAAAAGAGTGGACAGAGCGGTGCGTGTGTTGCCCCACGACATGAAGCGTTTGTTGCGCATACATAGAGGCGAGTGATCGGCAGAGGTGATTGGAATGGAGTGTGAGGTGAGATTCGTAACCATCAGACTCGACACGGTGAGCAACGGAGTTGTCTGTTGCTCGTGCGCCTGCTTCAATTGCTGCTGCTGAGATTGCTGGAGAGTGTCGACGGCTCCATTGGCGCAGTGTGCTGATTGTAGCTGATTTGCGATCGTTCTCGTACCGTGGGGTTGTCGCTGGAGGGGCCGGTCATGCCTGTACCCTCCTGTTGCTGTTGCTGCTGGCCGCTGTTTAGCGCCAGTCGTTGCATCTGTCGTATTACCGTCGCTGCATGGTACGCTTGCTGCAACCATGACACAAGTGGGAGACATTCCTACGGCGCCTGGTGGGTAAAGACACACAGATAATTAATCGCATGCTAATCAATTGACGATACCAACCTTCCACCTTGATTTGGCAAAGTTCTTTTTTAGTTGTTCCGATACCGTACCGTGAATGTTCTTATTGCTAGCCGCGTTGCCGGAAATCCTGAAAATATCAATATCACAAGCAATTACGTTACGTTACACGTTAGAAATATATAGTTTAGTTAGTCTGTTAGTTGCAAAACAGATGTAGATAGTTAGTACGAAGTGAAAGAGTATTGAAAAAAAGTGCTTAATGCGTGATAACAACAAACAATACATGATGCGCATTGTGTCTCGTAACAATAAATATAATTTACAGCGACAGCAAACGATTTTGTCATTGACATCTTTGTTAAAACATTGCATGATCATTAGGTTATTGAGCATATATGATCATTATTAATGATCATGATCGTGAATCACTTGATTTTTTTGTTTTAAACACATAAATGCTTTTAAAAAATGCATATATTATCTACTTACTTAATCCATATATACTTTTATTTTACGGACAAATCAGTTCCTGTAATATTCTCATGCGACTTTGAGAGCTACAGAGAAGTGTATCAAAATTTACACTCTAATCTTTCTCGCACACATTTGTTACGTTTATCTAATTCATTTATTTTGGCTATTATTTAAGACTTTTTGGCTTTAGACTTATATTTTTAATTAAGAAAAAAAAACAAACATGTTTTGTATTAATACACAAAATTTATGCAAAACTATGCAAATTACATTCTTGAAGTTATTGTAAGTATTTTTCTGATAAAACTACTTACCATGGATGTGCGAGGGCCTGTTTGCACGTGTAGCGCTCTTCCACATTGACGCACATCAATTTGCGAATAAAATCCTTCGCGGAATCACTGATATCGTCCCAGTACGGTGAATCGAATTCAAATTCACCTATAACAATCTGATTAGCTTTTTGCTATAGAGCATACAATTTCATTACAATTATTTCAACCAGAGCACTCGCACTTTTTTCAATGTCATTTTTATGACAAAATTTGTCGCGAACATCTGGCTACGAAAATATATCGTTTTTAGGCAACATCAATCAAGTAACAACAAGTTTTTGTGGAATCAGATTGGTCACACTTTGACCAAATAGTTAATGCGCGATCAATCAATTCCACGAGAACAGTTATTATTACTTCATATAGATAGATTTGGCTATCAGAATAAGTAAATCGGGCGAGTGATCTAGTTCAAGAATTCAAAGCAGAAAAAACATATTATATGTACACGTTAATTTTTCCATTCTACTTTACTAAGAAATATTAAAAAAAACGTGAAATATTTCTCGCAATATTGTTTTTTATTTAGATAACACACACACACATAAAATATCAAAGTTACAGATTAGTTGTGTATTGTTTTTTTTTACACATACATACAGATTCTAAAATTAACAACACACTATAAAAAAAAAACCGCATGACTCCATTACCTTTCAAAATTTGTGCAAAGAGATTGGCGTCACTTTCATCATAGAATGGCGGATATCCGCACAAGAGAATGTATGAAATGACTCCTATGCTCCAAACGTCCACCGCTTTGCCGTACGGTTTCTGCGCCAGAACTTCGGGCGCTACGGAACAGAGCAGTTCAAACACGTTTGATCGTCGATGCTTGAAAAATATATCTGTCTCTTTTTTTTCTCTTTAATCTATTTTTTTTTTTTTTTCCGCTGAAAACCCACCGACATATCCCGGGGTGCCGCAGGCGGTTGCCATGATTCCGGAATCTTCCATCTTCGATAGGCCAAAGTCGCTGATCATAATTTTGCTGTCCTCATCTGGACTGTAGTACAACAGATTCTCCGGTTTCAGATCCCTATGGACAACACCTTGGTCGTGCATGTAGCCGACCGCCTCGAGCACCTGTCTTATTAAGCCGGACGCATCCTTCTCTGTATATGAGCCTTTCTCGACTATTCTGTCGAACAACTCTCCACCGGTAACTCTAATGTCATGCAAAATGTTTACGTTGAATGTCTCGAGTGTCTCTGTCTGATACTACCATATTAATAACACGTATTATACTTACAACTCCATAACTAAGTACACCTTGTGCTTATCTTCAAATGTCTCTAGCAATTGGACAATATTGGGGTGAGTTAGCCTGAAACAATATCCATGGTTTTTGTTTTCCTATTTAAAACTATTGCACATGTACAATACAAATTGATCAGATGATTTTTAATATGTATATTACAATGATCTTTACTGTATATCTTTACTGGAGAAGTAAAATTTTATTATTTCTTGAAGATATTTTTCATAAGATAAATAAATCAAAATTTATAGAAAGAGAGAGAGAATTTAAAAAAATCTGTTACAATATTTGGATTTTTAGAAGGATCGTTATCCAAAATTTAATTATCTCGCACATAAAATTCTTGATTCTTTATTGTCACATAGTAAAATATTAGCTTTTAAGTATAGGTAAATATAAAAAGATATGTATATACATTCATATACAATGACATTAAACATTGAATATATAAATTGCAGTTAAATTAATTTTTACATGTCTTATTTAATTATAATTAATCATTCACGTATGTAGGCTTAACTATTCAATCACAATATAACAAAGCAATCATAAATAATACATTAACAATACATATATAAATGACAATAAAACGGCAATGCAAGATTAGCTCAATTCTGACTGCAGCTACATAATATATTAATTAAAACATGCTCAATTATTGCATTGGCTACAGTTATATATATTTTATATTTTGCACGCAGGTGAATTAAACAATAATTCACATAGAATAGCTATGTACAAGAAAATTGGTTTTTAGTAGTAATAAAGCAATAACACTATCAAATATGTATATACAAAGATCTGTAAAAAAGATAGAAGAAATTACTTCCCCATTATATAACAAAATCATTTGCAGTGGATCCAAAAAGTATTGGCACACACTCACAATTTTTAAAACATTTCTATATAGTGAAGTAATATATTAATAAATATATTAATATTATAAAATTATGTGTAATAAATTAATAAATAAATTCCATTAATGTTTTATAATATACGGAAGCAGTGTATTTTTCAAAAACTTTCAATGTTGTAATTGAAACAAGTTAAAAAAAAAAGAACAAAAATTTTATATTCAAAAAAGTATTAGCACAGTTGCGTTTTACATAGAAAATACACAATTCTCCTGAAGTTTTTATAATAAAAAACAAGTTTTTAAAATCTTGCACTCTGTAGTGAATTATCTCGCGACACATCGATATGCATTCGGGCATTTATAATTTCTTCAATAAATGCTAAATTTCCAATTCTCTATTATAAGACATACAACCCAAAACCATTATGTGCATTATTATTATATGTAAGTATGTCAATAATTTTTGAAGCCACTGTATTAAATATAAGAAACAAGAATGGTTTTCCATGATGTTCTTTTAATCTCACGATAACTTTATAAAATAATAACTTTTCGTTTCTTCTTTGATTTTTATTTTAAATCATTTTCTTGTATGTACAAACCTAATTGTTTGTTTTAGTGTTTCGTGCTATTTTTTGCGCTGCATTTTTTGTAAAAATGTGATCGCTAAACAGTCAGATCATCATAACAAATGAGATTTGCTGCAACGTAATTGATCAAATCTGTTGCAACAGCGACTAAAAATACTAGAGCAACATCGTGTGAAAGAAGTCATAATGTGAAGTCATGTGGTGAAGAATTTTTTTCGTGGATGAAATATGAGTGTAAAATACTTTTGTGGATATTAAGAAAATTTTTGGCATTATCACTTGTTTTTATGCAAAACTAAAAAAAATACACAAATATCACATAAAAGAAAAAGATACATAACATACGAAACGCAAATAAATGATTAATAAACAAGTAAATGTATAATTTTTTCTTTATTTTTTGTGTCACTTATTGATTACTATAAAAAAGAAACTTTGAAAACTTACATTTTTCCGATATTTGATGCCTTCGCGGTGTGTTGTATTAACATTCAAAGATATTTTTCGGGTTTAAACCGCGTTAGTGTCATTTTATACCGACGTTTCGTGAACATTTCAGCTCACTTCATCAGGGTTTCAAGAGCAAACTGATACTATATACTATATTAGGTATCGGGCTGCTCTTGAAACTCTGATGAAGTGTTCACCAAATGTCGGTATAAAAATGACACTAACACGGTTCAAACCCGGAAAACATCTTTGAATGTTAACTTAATTTTTCTTTAAAAAAAACACATAAATTGATCGATATTTTAGAACATATAGTTGTTCGCTGTAATTAACTGTTTCCGTTATTTTTTACAATAAAACATATTTCAAAAAATATTTTATGACACGTAACAAAAGCCAATTTTAATAAAATTAAAATTTATAACAGTGTATAAAATTTAAACATGTCGCTACACACAGATTTATTATAACTTTTTTATTTGAAAAAACAATAGTAGTAAAACTTAAAAGCGTAATCAAAACAAATTGTATATACATGTCTGCGATAAACGTTTTCATAAATTACACTGTCATGCCGGTAACATAAACAATATTTTGTTATCGATATCGTGCCATAAGCGCTCTGTCACTTTATTAATTCTGAATGGTTTTATCGGACTTGTGTCGATACAAGATAATTATGTCTCGAGAATTTTATCACATAAATCAGACTTCCTTTATTCTGTGTGAAGAGTACATGTTATAGTGTAATATTTTTATCTAACGGCTGTCGTCAATTTCACTTTCACATATTTATCGCGTTCCCGTTCTCAGGTGTTGTTTCAAATAATAAGACTCAAATTTATCTTTCCTATCCACTTCGCTTCGCAACAAAAGATGTCAGATGACAAAAAAAGTGTTAACACTTAACCGATTGATCGCACCAACATAAACAGTTCGCTGACTAGCGCTTAATTAACCAGAAGTCTGGTGATCAATTATTTTTGCTATCAACGTTTATCGACCGGAAGCCTATTAATCGGCTTAGCGGTTATTTTAATCAAAAGCCCGTTGCGTAATAATTTACAAATTAATAATATTAGCACAAGACTTGTAAGCTTTATACTTGCGCTTTTTTAATTGCACAGTTTTATATATACCACAATTACTTTTTTATATAAATTCATATAATATCGACTTAATACGGCTTATAATATTGTCAATATTAAAAAATATGTTTAATATTATTGATCATATAAAGTCTACAATATGTTTCTGATTTATTTACAACTCGGCGATAATTACGATGTTCTTTAATAACATTATCGGTATCAACTGATATTGATGATTGATGCTGACAATATTATTGACAGTATAAAGTCTCTGTAAAGTAGATGTATCCGTCTAAATAAAATATAACAAATATAAATATGATTTATGCTTATTACAATAACTCCTGTACCGTTCATTAATAATATTCATATAGAGATGTATGCAAAAACGTATGTGAGCTTCAAATCAGTTAAGTGTTAAGAAACTATATTATTATATGCTACACGCTATGATAAATGTGTGCAGATCGTGCATCTTGTGTGTGTATATGTGTGTGTGACATTATATATTTATAATCTGAAAAGTAAATATATACATATGTATAATATGTATATATATATATATGACATTGTCAAGTGATACAGAATATTGAGAGTGGTACAGGTAGTTGGTACCCATGCTTTGGGGCCCAGACTTACCATCTCTTCTCGCCACTACTATCCGACTTGAGCGATCCACTCTGTGGTGTCGCACTTTCACTGAACCTACGAAGTATAATAAAAATACCATACACAATTACGTAATACACATTGACAAAAACTGGTCACGATTACTCATGGTAATTTGGTTTTTACTTTGTCTATTTACAATATTCTTCCCGGCCTGACGTGTTTTCTTCTCATGATGACGTAAGAAATGGATTCGTATAACAAATTGTCACAAACATAATCCAATGTGTACTAGTATCGCTGTATTATGTGGAGAAGACTAGCACGCGCGTGTGTATCACTGATATCGAGATAAATACAAATCACATACAAAAATGTAATAACAAATATAACAACAAATGTTATTCCCGACAATATGTGATAATTGATATTATTGAAGTCCCATAAATGTGCATGCATAACGTTAGAGCAGTATTTAAAAGAGATATTTTAAAACTATTGTTTATATACATTTTATTGTACATATGTGTGTGTGTGTGCAATTTAAACATGTACAATTACTTGATACTTATATTACACATAATTACTTGATTAGAAGTATTAATTATGTTACAATATATGTTTAGTGATTTTGCGTGCAAGAATAATTAACATGATGCATGAAGAGAAAAACGAGTTTTTAATTTAAAGTATAAAGCATTGAGCAATATACACACACGCGCGCGTGTATGTGTGTTGTGTGAGATATAGCACCTTGTACTTTTGCGCTGAGGAATAAATGATAATGTAATGACACAACAGAATTCTCTTAAGCATCGGGTTTGTGTTTCGTTAACTCCATCTGATTTCATCTTACTTTGACACATAAAAGTTACAACGAAATAGAATACAATAAAGTAGTTACAATGAAATAGAGAATATATGTATATAGTTCGATACAATACCGAAAAGTTTTTTATCATTTTAATGTACGTGAGTCAGTGTTATACAAAAAAATATTGTACATGTAAATAATATATGCAAAAAAAAAACCTTTCAAATCTGTGTACGTTTGAAAGTATCGGGACACTATAGTTTGCACATACGAGAGATACATTATTTCGCACACACATTAAAAGTGTAAGAGAAACACAGACGACAGCCATCAGGATTCACTTCAAATGCCATATCACAGCGCGCGTTCTTCGAAAAGAAAAAGAAATATTTTGAGAATAATATACACGTGAGCAGAAAATAATAGCACTGTTTAATTACATATAAAGAATATATTAGAGAAAGAAAAAGCATAATGATGAATGTATTAATCACATAAGAAAAATATATATACATATATATGTATATGTATATTTGTAATACACACATGTATATGTATACTCGTCTCACATGTATATAATAATCGAGCAGTTATTGAACAGAGTTCATGGTTTTTGAGAAACACAACGCATTAATCCCACAAAGCAGAAGTCGATGCTCCATACTTTTCTTTTCCGTAATGATAGACGGCAAATATCTGATGAATGAATTTATCTGATATCCGCAAAGCAAAAGAGAGATAACGTGATACTCAAAGAAGAACAATATGATTCTCTCTTACATATGAAGCAATTGTTAAAAGCATGCATAGGTATATAGAAACTACCAGAGTTCACAGTTAAGCGATAATAGAACTAGTACTTTGAAAATTCCGACATGGCAAATTCTGACACGGTCTGTATAAAATATCTTAAAGAGGGACTATTTGAACAAAAATTGATACTGACGAAACTCTTGATCCATTCAATAATACAATAGGTAGCTAGGCTCTTAGAATTGGTTTGCGGCCCTACCTCCGGAGGACTTTGATTTCGTTTTCTAACGAATCCTCTTTTCCTTTTAGCGCCTTCTTATCGATGATCTTTACGGCAAACATTTGACCAGGCTTCTCCTTGCTCTCTGCCAATCTCACTTCGGAGAATGCTCCCCTAAACAAAGAAAAATATGCGGTATTTGAATACAATCGTTCGCAAGCAAATTTACTTAAAATTACATTTAAAAAAACCTATCATGTTATTCTATTAAAGTATCATTATCCGTTTAATAAATGATCTTTTTCAAAGATCAACGATATATCCTGTGTGTGTTGCTACTTACAAACCAGACTTTCAACACAATAATGTGTGCTGTGAATAATTAACTCTTATACAATTATCATGTAAAGCACACGTGTCTGAATATTTCTAACAGATGCATTAAGACGCGCAAAATAGAAAGAAACACGTGTCAAGATCGAGTTATCACAAGAAACTCGTTGCGCATAAAATTTGTAAGTATCGAAGAAATCTTGAGAGCTCTAGGAAGTTTTAATCAATTTCTTCAAGAGAAAACGGGGCCACGCAAATAGCGCAGTTACGAATAAGTCTTATTTATAACATAATAAACGTATTAACGTTCTATTTATAACAATAATATTCTGAACAATTCAACCATCTGTCCCGCGCCGTAACAAAAAACGTACAAGTGTCTTGTTATATAATCAAAAAAGAAATAGCTGTCACATGTTATAATCAAACGGTGAAAAAGGCCCGCAAACAGATAACATTCATAATAAATAATATTCAAAACAAAGTTTGTGACATGTTGATTACTTTTGTTAATTATATTTAACCCTTCGCGAACAGACATGGATCTCCTAGACCTATGTCAAAAATTGCGCGCGTGCGCATATCGGCGTCTCTAATAAAACCTAGTTTTTTTAAAACACTTATATCTTCGAAACTACTAGAGATTTTTTCAATTTGTTTATTTTTTATCGGCGCAGAATCGTCCAAACAAAAAAAAAAACAAAATTGAAAAACTATTAATTTTTCGCGGAGATATTTAATTTTAAAATCGCCTAAGTCTTACAGACCTAGTCTGTCCAACAGTTGTCATTTCTAAGGTCTGTCCATTGCAAAGAGTTAATTGAAATTCAGAAAGAGAAACTTGTGTGATAACAAGTAATTATCTTGAGCAACAAGGACTGATCACGTTGATTATTTATTGTCACAAGTTCCCTTCTTGAGAATCTTGGTTGTGTTTGCTGAGCTTTTTCACCATATAATTATGCAATATTTTTCTTCTGATATACCCACCCGCTGCCGGCGGGACAGCGGCGAGTGAGAACAGCGCAGCTGCGCGCAGCACAATTATTTATTATAACAATAGACGAAAAAGCTATAAAACTTTCAACATTTGCACTTTTAATTTTACGCAAAACTGCTTATTTTGTTCGATTAATTTAACCATTTTTTCCTTTGCACATCTTCATGTATTTTATTGATATAAATTGTTGAAATTTTGGTTTTCGCGAGAATCGTTGGTAAACAATCCCGTCTGTAAATTACGTACAAACTTGTAATATCACATTCCATTTAAAATATGACTCCTAATTGCAAAACAAAAATTATTTCTGAAGCTATCTAAGGTATACAAATTATAAGTGACAGCCAAAGATATTTTTTTTGAGGATACAAAAAAAGACAAACGAAAGTCAGTTGATTATAAAGCACCTATTTATAGTCGCTTCTTGAGAATTAAAACTGTTTTATTTATATACGTGTACATATAGGACGTACGTGCGTAAATATGAGACAATCTTAAACATAGGACCTGACTAATGAATTCCGCTTATAGAAAATTACGAAAAGCAATTTCTTCGCGACATGTATGTAATAGTTTAGTTTATGTCGCATTGAACGTGACGGAAGACGAGAGAAAAAAAGGAAGCAGATTAAACTGTAAGTACTTCCGTTTGTATAACCCGTTTAGTGTATAGCGCGTCGTTTTGCAAACGAGGGAAAAACTTGAAGCTATCAAAGACAACCCATGAAAGACCGACCTATTTAGAATGTTTCAAACTTAGAAAAAAAAAGATCAACTAGAGGGTTGACAAGCAGATGTGCGTGTAGGTGTGTGGAGTATATATCACATAAAATCTTCTTAAAAATAATCCCCTTAATTGCCAGATATTTTGTCAATCGTCCGGTTTCTTCACTCAATTGGAAATTACAAAGCTCCCGTCTCTTTTTTTTTTTGTGACGCGAGGGATTGCTCCGTTACCCTCGTATCTAATTTTTCTCATTTCTTGTCCTTCGTTCATTTCATTTTGCGCTGCATTGGTTGTCCCGAGACAATTAGTGGTTTTTCTAAGGAAAATAACCTACCTGCTCTCTACCTTGTTAAGCAACTTTCATCCAAAATTTTCCATTTAAATAACGAGATATTTACTACCATAATTATTCTTTATTATACGTGACTCTATATATATATATATAAAGTTTTTTCTCTTTTTATTAATATATTATTTACTATAAATTTCTTTTTGCAACCTTTCAACAGTAAACTTGAAGTCATTTCTGATCCACGTCCTTTAATTAGCCTGGTTAAAAAATATAACAAATTGTTTGCAAAAAATAAAACTCGTGTCACGGGTCAATAATGACCCAAGTTTCATCATCGGAAGGTCAAACACACATTAATATCATTTTCGCTACCTTTTTAATGTTTTACGTATTATACATCTACTCTGCGTATCGATCAAATTTTACATTTCCGAAACAGCAAAACAACTTGAAAGTAGTTGCAACCGTTTGGTTTTTATCTTTTTATTTTATTCGCTCTTTCAACGCTTAAATTTCTGAAATGCGTGTTTTAAGTTCCGAGTTTGGTAATCTTCTACATACGAAAACAAAATTACTATCAAAATTTGACGTTTTTTAACATTCAGGAAAAATATATTCTCGGCATGACTGAAGCCGAAAAAAGCATACGTAGTGCGTGATATTTGAAGATATTCTGTATTCATGCGAGAGTCGTGCGAATTTCTTTGGATTTGAACGTGAATAGAAAATCATTTCAGAAAGATGATTGCACGAGATATATACTAATATCGTGAATCCTCAAACGCGCGAAGGAACACCGATGCGAAGAGGAAGTAAATTCGCAAGATGAGAAAAAAAAAGTAACAGAGAAAATAAAAGTAAGATATCTTGGTCGCTTCGGGTGGATTTTAAGTGACGTTTATCAATTCTCTCGCTTTGAGAACGCGCTCGTTTTTATCTTTTTTATTTTTTTTCGCGAGGAGAACTGCTCTCGAATTCGAGAAACACAGATACTGTTTCTCCCGCTACGACGTTCACTTAGTGATATAAAAATTTCACGGTGTCAACATCCTTTTGGCCTCATCGATCATTGTTATATAACATTATCATGGGCAATCAGTTGCACACGAATTAGAATATCACGCACATATGACACGTGGCAGCAAAAGTGTTAAAGCCAACACTTGATCGATCGATGCCTCACACCATGCAACGCAAACGTTTGTATCGTTATGCAAATAAATGTGTGAAAAAAATGAGAGTATAAAAAAAAAAAAAAATTACTCATAATAAATTATGTAACTAACTCGAGTCAGTGAAAAAGTTTATATCGTCGAGAAAAAGAGAGTGAGAGGAGAGGAGAGAAATACGTACTAAATAGATAATCGTTTATCGGAAATATAAGAGCGTAAAAGACTCGATGATTTCGTTGTGGTTTGTTATTAAGCTGTAAAAACATTCTCAGATGCGCACATATAAACAGACTCGCATTAAATGACGTACTTTCCGAAGTGTGCTGCGTATCGAGATTTTCATCCGTCATAATTCCTTAATCTGCGGCGATAAAATTGCAAACGGCGATCAAGCCGGAAATTGAATAGCCGTTTGAAGCGCTATATATGAAATTAATCGGGAAAGGATCGCGTTTTATTTCCGCTTACATTTAATTCAATTTAACGTCCAAGAGAGACATTAAATTCCTTCGAGAGTTATCTCCGATACACTCCGCGCGCGGTAATTAGCGCATTGATCAGATATTTGCATAGAATTAACCGGACACTTGTTCTGTAAAACAAAAGCATGCGTTCAAAGTGTTTACGTAAAATCTCGACACCAGTTAACCGTATGGTCACACGGATATGATACCGTATGTCAATGACGCGAGACGACTTACGTTCCCAGTAGATCCTTCAATATGTACTTGTCCTCGACGGAAGGCGATCGGTCGTCCTTGCCGTCCTTCTTGATCTTTTTGTAAGCGTCTTTCTTTCCGAAGAGAGGCATCTTGATGCGAGAGCTACTCGTCGAACTCAAACACGAAACGTGTAATCGAGTAAGTAATATATGTAACTGTCACACAAAGGACACTCACGTCTCCTTCTTTTTTTTTTTTATTACGAGGCGCGGTATCCCAACGCGGATTACAATAACTTTACGGAGCTTGTTAAAAGCCGCTAGTCCGGTCGTCGTCGTTGTCTGATACTGTCGCGTCAGTCACGCCGTCATTCTTCCAACAACGGAACGATCATGAACCCACGACCTTTCGCGGATCCTCGTCTGCGATAGCGCGCACTCTTCCTGCTAGCCGTCGTCCGTTTCTCTGTCCTTGTTTTTCTACCTTTTCTCGCGGGACATATAATCTCTCTCGGCGCGACCACTCTCTCTCTCTCTCCTTCTCGTTCGCTTTTCCCACCACGCGTCCGCACGATTCTCGCTTTGGCCGACGTGCGTCCGCTCCGCTGTACTCTCGCGGTAGTTATCTCCGTCTGCGTCCTCTCAGCGCGTTCTTACGCACCACCACTATGGGAGAACTTCGCGCAGAGCCACGCAGAACGGCGCAGTGCCGTCCACGCGCCTCGTACGTATATATATGTATTGAGCTCAGGGTCGCGGCCTCGCCAGATAGCTCGCGTTCTTCGCCTGGCACTACATCAGCGGGGCCGATTCCGTAACTTTTACCGCGTGTGTTAGGCCTGATCCACAATGGATCAGTTCGCTCACAGTCCGAATATGGCCTATATTCGGTTCAACGAGAGAATAGGACACTCTCGTGGACGAAAATGCGTCCGTTCTGCGCATCTTTCCTACCAGAAAGCTTCCCCATCCCACAGTGCTGTACCGCTCGTACAATCTTCAGCGGGTGCTTATTTCATCCATTGAAATCTAAATCGGGCCTGAACGTGCTGTATCTATAGGTTTGTTCGGGTCGCATGCTCCAATGTATACCACAGAGCACTTGGATCACTAATACGATGGCGGTTGAGGCAGATAAGTTCATGTGCGCTAACGTCCAGTGACACGAACGATCTGAGGCACTTCTCCTTCTCTAGCAATATGGGCTGCGTTCCGATATTCACTTCCAGTACTGGAAATCTATAGCACATGTGATGTGAGGTAT